ATCCTAAACAGGAGGGGTGAATCTTACCAGAAGTTATGTCACCTGGTTATTGCGAAATAACAGATAAGAAATAAACAGAGCAATTATCTCACCATCGGTGCTCGGGCCCTAAAAAGGTATAATAATTGCGTCTTGGTCAAAGGAAAATTCAGATGTTTTGCAGGCATCTCGGCTTAATTGTTGCTTTGTTCAATAAAGTCTTATTTTGTTTTTTTGGACCTCTGACTCCTGAGCTTCATTTGCAAGAAAGAGAAGACAATTTTCCACAACACTACTTGCTTTAGTCTCAGCAAAGCGAGTGGGTGAATTACATGTCTTGTCAATTCATTAATGTCTGAATTTTAGTCCGGATGATGACAGCAAGGTTACACTGCTACCTAACCCGGCTTGTTTCGTTCCCAAAGTCAGTGATTCAGTGTGTGGAAAGACACAGGTCTTCTTTGTACTTGACTTAATCTTTTGAATAGAAAAAGAAGTATAAATCATGTTGAATTATACGCTGAATACTGCAGACATTCACAAAAAAAACACAGCAGCGACACTCGAATTTGCTCAATTCATCCAAACTCGTATTACAACATGAAAAACCACAACAATATACCTATAATTAATAATAATTACAAGTAATATTATTATTAATAATATTAATAATAATTACAAGTGTACTAAAGAAAAATCAATTGCTAAATATCATCAATTAACATTTCTAACAAAATAAAAACGAAAACCACATAATTACCTTTTGAATAGAAAAAGAAGTATAAATCACGTTGCCTGAATACTGCAGACATGAGACATTCTCAAAAGACTAGAAAAGTAGAAATTACACATTCACTCAACTCATAATACAAACAATTGTCAGCATTTTAAGACACAATAAAACTACAAAAAAATAAACTCAATCCCATTCGTGTGACGCACGAGGAAATTCAATTATAACAATCTCAACAACCGTGTTTAAACTTTAAAGCATAGACTGTAAAAGGTTTTAAGTGTTAAATGCATTTCATACATCAAATTCAAATAATATCAAATGCATACACGCAAACAATTGCGCCTAAAAGATTTAACTTACTTAAAACATATTATTTTCACAACTAATTCGTTAGTTAGAGCGTAGAAAAACGTACACATACCCACAGAAGCGTTACTCGAATCTGCTGCAGTACGGCAAGAGAAGCGGAACAAAATAGTATATCTGCAGTACCATAAAAAGCCACAGGAGGGGAGCATTTGAACACTGATTACAATCAAATGCCTTATTTTATGAACATTCACGCATCAAACCTCTTTAAATTGAATGTTCTTTTTAACCCTGTTACATATATTATTTATTGTATATGATATATGCTATTGTAAGATATGACTGTTCTATGTTTCCAATATGGAAAAACTATCCTAAGCAGAGAACATGATTGATCGGTTCCCAGATTTCCTCATCAGTTTACACCGGTTGGCTACTGACATGGGCTGGGAATATTGAAGAGACTGGATGGATGCAGACACCTATAGCCACTTCCATTGCTTTGCACTTAATGTTGAATAATGATGTTTTTAATGAATCCCCAATCGCCCAAATCTAAACTCCACAATATTGGTTTCAGCTCAAGGCTGTTGATGGTGGTTTCAAGGCATGCGTATCTTTGCTATCATGTTTTCGACTAAAGTCAATATTGACATTTTTTACTTGCTGTTTATATGCATCAAATCAGTAATGTAATGATTTAATACATGCATCTTTTCCCATGTGTATGTCGTTCATCTATTGTGAAATGGTTTGTATATGCAGCAGTCTATAATTCAGAGGCTCTCATTCGAAGGCCGATTGCGTCAATGCGGCCGATAAAGGCTGTCGCAATTCGAAGGCTCATTTAAAATGATTTCTTAGTTCCCCAGGAAATGAAGGATACAACAGATGCCTTGCCTACCCCAGAATTCATTGCACGCCAGTTTTTGTTGAGAGAAATTGCCAAATTACACTTACGTATTGAGTTTCAGCTTATATAATATAAGATTATGAACATTACTAACATATGTACAAAAATGATATGAGAGTAGGCTACCATGAAGGGGAGCTATATAAAATATGACATGTTTATAATACTGCAATCCTGAGTTTTTATATAAACAGTGTAGTGTAGCATTGATTGAAGAGTGCACTAGAATGATAGAATACGGGGTAAATTATATTCTGCCTAAACCTGCTACTCCTGGCCCGGAGACTCCAATAGCGCCTCCCAGAAGAGGTCAAACAGTCCATGAGCCAGGTGAGAGAAATCTTTTATGATGTTGTGTGCTTTCCTGTGACAATGTTTTCTGTAGATATCTTCCAGGTTTGGGAGTGCAGTTCCTACAATGCGTGTTGGGCAGTTTTCACCACCCTTTGCCGTATGGCAAGCCGTTTTAGCTTATATTGTACCCAGCCTTACTTGTTGTAATTTCATTTTTACTAGTAAGAATTTAATTAGAGAACTTTACAATTCAATTCGTACTAGTAGCAATTACAATTAGAGAGCTCTCTAATTCGATTCTTACTAGTAAGAATGTAATTGCAGAGCTCTTTAATTGAATTAAAGAGCTCTGCAATTGCATTCTTACTAGTAAGAATTAAATTAGAGAGCTCTCTAAATCAGTTTTTACTAGTAGAATTACGTTAGGAGAGCTCTTTAATGCAATTATTACTAGTAAAAACTGATTTAGAGAGCTCTCTAATTCAGTTCTTACTAGTAAGAATGCAATTGCAGAGCTCTTTAATTCAATTAGAGAGCTCTTTAATGCAATTCTTACTAGTAGGAATTCAATTAGAGAGCTCTACAATTCAATTCTTACTAGTAGCAATTACAATTAGAGAGCTCTCTAATTCAGTTATTACTAGTAACAATTACAATTGCAGAGCTCTCTAATTCAATTCTTACTAGTAACAATTCCAATTAGAGAGCTCTACAAATGAATTCTTACTAGTCATATGTCTCCATTGACTTCCATTCATTTTTAATTACAGAGCTCTTTAATTGAATTGTTACTAGTAAGAATTACAATTAGAGAGCTCTACAATTGAATTGTTACTAAGAATTACCATTAGAGAGCTCTCTAATTCAATTATTACTAGTAACAATTACAATAAGAGAGCTCTCTAATTCAATTCTTACTAGTGAAAATACAATTAGAGAGCTCTCTAATTCAGTTATTACTAGTAACAATTACAATTGCAGAGCTCTCTAATTCAATTCTTACTAGTAACAATTCCAATTAGAGAGCTCTACAAATGAATTCTTACTAGTCATATGTCTCCATTGACTTCCATTCATTTTTAATTACAGAGCTCTTTAATTGAATTGTTACTAGTAAGAATTACAATTAGAGAGCTCCACAATTGAATTGTTACTAGTAACAATTCCATTAGAGAGCTCTCTAATCCAATTATGACTAGTAACAATTACAATTAAAGAGCTCTGTAATTGAATTATAGAGCTCTCTAATTGCATTCTTACTAGTAACAATTCAATTGTAGAGCTCTCTAATTCAATTCTTACTAGTAACAACTCAATTGCAGAGCTCTTTAATTCAATTAGAGAGCTCTCTATTTCAATTGTTACTAGTAAGAATGCAATTGTAATACTATGGCAAGCCGTTTTAGCTTTAATTGTACCCAGCCTTACTCGTCGTAATTACATTTTTACTAGTAATAATTCAATTAGAGAGCTCTCCAATTATACATATCTTTAATTCGTTTTTTTTACTAGTAAAAATTCAATTAGAGAGCTCTGTAATTGCATTCTTACTAGTAAGAATTGAATTAGAGAGCTCTCTAATTGTAATTGTTACTAGTAATAATTGGATAAGAGAGCTCTCTAATTGTAATTCTTACTAGTAATAATTGAATTAGAGAGCTCTGCAATTGCATTCTTACTAGTAAGAATTGAATTAGAGAGCTCTCTAATTGTAATTGTTACTAGTAATAATTGAATTGTAGAGCTCTCTAATTGAATTATTACTAGTAAAAATGTAATTACGACGAGTAAGGCTGGGTACAATTAAAGCTAAAACGGCTTGCCATATTGCCGTGCTTTCCGGCCTGACACAGAGCATCTTCCATACCAAACTGTAATACAGTAGGTCAGGATACTCTCGGCGGCACATTGGTAGACGTTCAACAGGATTTCTAAGTAGAGATGAGAAAAAACAGGCGCTGGTTAGCCTTCTTGACCAGTGTGGAGCTGTTCCCAGACCAACCGTCCCAATGTTGTTGGGATGACCTCATCAGTGTTTTGATGAGGAAAGTTCGCGTCAGGAAGTAACCATAGCAACAGTAGGCTGCTTGTGCTTGAGAAAATAAATATTGTTATAATTTCACACTTCTATAGATTTAACGTTATATATCACAACTATGTCTCTGAAATTTGTATTAACGACGATTTGAGAAGACCGCAAAAGATGAGTTTGTTTTATATGTGTAGCAGGGGTGTGTGGAGTTCTCCGAAAGGAAAGCCACTGGTCTCGTGTTGTTGTATGCTAGCACTGATTGGCTGCATGCATCGTTTCCCTCTTCCGCACTCTTTCTAACCTCCCGATTTCTGCACGACAAAAAGTATCCGTGCTTCCTTATAAACTACTACAGGTATGTGAAACTCACATCTGTATATGCATAAAATATGATGTTTATTAGATGCTAGATTATTACGTTGTTCTGACTGACGTTGGTCAGTGATTTCCTTTCGATTTCAAAAGTCAATGAAAAAATTTGAACATTTCTCAGTCTAGAGTTTCTTTTTGAAAGTAATTTTCTCTAGAGACAAATCTTGACTACAAAAAACTTACAGTTGAATGAATAAACAATTATTTATGTGGTATGTAAATGGGTACGTTTCACAATGTCACAGCAAAACAATTATGACAAAAAAAATATCTCAACTTGTGATAGTTCAACTTGCCCCAACCTGATATCAAGTAAAGTCTGACTTTGTCTGGTTCAAAACCAATGATAGCGAAAACAGGCATTGTATTTATTTAAATTATTAAGAATAAAGAATAATATAAAAAGCAGCATGTTAATGTTGATGTTTTGTCTTTTTGGCTAGTTTAAAGGGACTGAAGAAAAACAATGGAACATCAGTGTAAGTTTTACATGAAAAAACTATCTGAATTAGCCTAATTGCACCACATTTTAAATAATATTGGGATATAAAATTCATTTGACCTATTCTTTTCTGGGTTTGCTGGCTAATTTATTGGTTTGTTACTGTGTTCTGAAGATGAGAAAAGAGCGACACACTTGTCTTTTTTTAACTGATGTTTGATACTCAGATGCTGAGTTTGTGGACACGCACTATGAAGCTCTCATTCAAAGAGGTACATCTGTGATGACCATCGCTGATAAGCTGTATGAAAACAGAAAGCTTACCTGGAGTCAGTATTCAAAAATCACAAACTCAACTAAAAGGACCCAAAGTACAGAGCTTTCAAAAGCTGTGAAATCTGGAGGATCTGCAGTAAAATCTGCTTTTTATGAAATACTGCAAGAAATAGAGCCTGATGTCATTCAAGAACTTGAAGGTATGAAGTAAACAACATATTTAAATGTGTTATATATATATATATATATATATATATATTTTGGAAGTCAACTTTTATTTTAAATGGATTTTCCAGGTTCATCCTTACAGACGGCCGATGACAAGCGGGTAACTGAGTGTCACCATCAAAAAGTAGCAACAGAAAATGTGCAAGATAAGACAGACAAACTAGATGATGATATCATCAGGTGCAACCCATCCTCAATAAAACACAGAAGTAAAATAGAGGAGCTCCAGAAAGATCCCTCCAAGAAAAAAGTCAGTAACATCTTCTTTTCTAGAAGTAATAATTACATTATTGGCTCTGGAGGAAGTGGCACAGTATATCTCGGCCTGAAGGAAGATGGCACTGAGGTGGCCATTAAACGAATAACCAAGGATCCACTGAATAGCAAAGACTTTGAAAATGAACTGAAGCATCTACGAGATTTAAAGCTTGAGAGCAAGAACATCGTCAGGTATGTGGACTTAGCAGAGGATGAAGATTTTTATTATCTTGCGCTACAGCTTTGTGAATATGATATGGAGGACTACATGGAAAATCTTCGTCTGCAGGAGCAAAAGGACAAAGACAACGCTTTGAGGAAAATAGTGAAGGAGATGCTTCTTGGCCTTCAAGTTCTTCACCGCGCTGGAGTGATACACCGCGACATAAAGCCTAGAAATGTTTTGATAGGTATCAAAAATAGGTTTTATTTACTACTGTGGCAGCTTTACAAGGAATGTATCATAATCTAGTCTGTAACATTAATTGAGAGAGAGGGAGAGATTATATCATAGGTAACAGCTAAACTCATATTTCAACAGATTCAGGAAAAAATGCCAGGCTGGCCGACTTCGGCTTGAGTCGCAAACTGGAGGAGGGCAGAAGCACAGTTCATACTGTTAGAGCTGGTACTCAAGGCTGGGAGGCAACGGAGATCCTGAATCAGTCTGAAAAGAGTGGTTATAAAAAGAGCTCAGATATCCAGGTTTGTGAAATACCACGAATCAACTGCAGTCATGAGATTACTGAGAGTTCACAAGCTAAGGGTGGATTGTGGTTTCATTTTTGCTGATGATTAGTGGGCGGAGTTAGTGTAAGCCTCTGCCAACAAGGCGGGCTATTTGCACTTGGTGTACGATTATTTTAGTATTACATCAAACTTAAAGGAATTAAATCTTTAAGTCCCCATTCACTTTCATTGTACAAAAAGGACACAAAACGAGTCGATATGACCAATGCTAGAGGATCAAATGAATCATGGTTCGTTTAATATTATATTTCAGTTCTCGCAGTTTATGCTAATAAAAATAATTTGAAAACATGCAGCTTTGTCGTAAATATGGCACAAGTAGGCCCTATTAGAAATATGGAAAATATATGGGGGTTAAAAAGGTTAACTTGCTGTTCTCTGACAATCTTACCTTCCTTTACCAGTTTGTCAGCGAATAACAACTTCTTGTTCTGTTCTTTACTTAAAGATATTGTTAAAAAAATATTTTATGGTTTATTTTGGCAACACTTTATTTTAAGGTGTTACATGTTACTGCATGTACTTACTGTATTAATAACAGTAAATTATGCATAATTACAACTAAACCTAACCCTTACCGTAACTCTATAGTAAGTTCATGAAGTTATTTTTTTTGTTTTTGGAGCTTGGTAGCCAAATTCACTTTCATTATATGAAAGAGCAACCGAAATATCTTTCAAAAATCATTTGATTACATTCACCATTTGATGTGTCAATAAAGTTAAAATGTGAATGGATGAGTGGAAAAAAATTTCAGTGTGAGACCGGCCTCAAAGTACAACATTCTCTATCAGCTCTTCCGGTTTATATCTCGCTGTCCCGTTCGTATGTGCTTCACAGTTTGCCCAAATTATTGCAGGTTGCTGGGATGTTGGTGTACTACATCCTCTCTGACGGAAAACATCCTTTTGGGGACATGGATCGTGAGGTGAACATCAAGAATGGGAACTACTCTCTTGAACATGTACAAGATATAGTAGCCAAGGATCTCATTGAATGGATGATCAACAAAGAACCAGCAGAGAGACTGACTGTTGATGAGGTCCTACGACACCCTTTTTTCTGGGATGATCACAGGTAAATTATAAAGTGATGCTTGTCAAAAGTTCTGGTGATTTTGACATGTATCTTATTATACTGAGTCACTGCCAGGACATTGATTTAGATTGAAGACTCTTTATCTTAAGCTGTAAATCTTCAAGGAATCGGTATGACAATTTTACCATTATTTTCTCACCCTCATCTCACTGCTGAACTGCCCTGCTCAATGCCTGCGTTTTTATTTCCTTCAGGAAAGATGCAGTCCTCAGGAAGCTGGGTGATAGGCCTGAAATCCAGAACTACGAGTATTTAGCAAAACTTCGCAATCTCTACATAGAAAAGGAGCACACAGAGGAAACAGACCCAACAGCAACACTGACCATCTATGAGGCCTTCAGTGAACTTAAAATCGAGAATGAAAAGAAGTAAGGTTTATATATGTATATATACACTCACCTAAAGAATTATTAGGAACACCTGTTCAATTTCTCATTAATGCAATTATCTAATCAACCAATCACATGGCAGTTGCTTCAATGCATTTAGGGGTGTGGTCCTGGTCAAGACAATCTCCTGAACTCCAAACTGAATGTCAGAATGGGAAAGAAAGGTGATTTAAGCAATTTTGAGCGTGGCATGGTTGTTGATGCCAGACGGGCCGGTCTGAGTATTTCACAATCTGCTCAGTTACTGGGATTTTCACGCACAACCATTTCTAGGGTTTACAAAGAATGGTGTGAAAAGGGAAAAACATCCAGTATGCGGCAGTCCTGTGGGCGAAAATGCCTTGTTGATGCTAGAGGTCAGAGGAGAATGGGCCGACTGATTCAAGCTGATAGAAGAGCAACTTTGACTGAAATAACCACTCGTTACAACCGAGGTATGCAGCAAAGCATTTGTGAAGCCACAACACGCACAACCTTGAGGCGGATGGGCTACAACAGCAGAAGACCCCACCGGGTACCACTCATCTCCACTACAAATAGGAAAAAGAGGCTACAATTTGCAAGAGCTCACCAAAATTGGACAGTTGAAGACTGGGAAAATGTTGCCTGGTCTGATGAGTCTCGATTTCTGTTGAGACATTCAGATGGTAGAGTCAGAATTTGGCGTAAACAGAATGAGAACATGGATCCATCATGCCTTGTTACCACTGTGCAGGCTGGTGGTGGTGGTGTAATGGTGTGGGGGATGTTTTCTTGGCACACTTTAGGCCCCTTAGTGCCAATTGGGCATCATTTAAATGCCACGGCCTACCTGAGCATTGTTTCTGACCATATCCATCCCTTTATGGCCACCATGTACCCATCCTCTGATGGCTACTTCCAGCAGGATAATGCACCATGTCACAAAGCTCGAATCATTTCAAATTGGTTTCTTGAACATGACAATGAGTTTACTGTACTAAAATGTAGGGCTGCAACGATTAGTCGACGTTGTCGACAACGTCGACAATAAAAATTTGTCGACAAATATCTTTGTTGTCGAGTAGTCGTTTGATCTCACGTGACCTAATGTAAGGGCCTGCAATCCCGCGATTTGACCGCTACGGCGCTGTAGCGCTAGAGTGTAGTGCAGCCCTTACAAATGCTATTGCGGTAGAAGAAAATACAGCGCGAATTATGACAGTGCAAACGAATCCGAACTAGCAAGGTTTCGGTTTGGGAAAGTTTCACAAAACTTCAAATCAAGAATGCTGTCGTGTGCAATTTTCACGGGAGCACAACATGCATGTTGGAGTGCAAGAGGAAACATCCCGGCAAAAGAGGAGCCGGTGAGAAGTGAGTATTCTCCAGCTGGAGCTTACTAACCAGCGGTAAATCTCTCTTTATTAGAGAATGCAATACTACTAATAATAGTAATAATATTATCAATAGTAATATAATTACAGTAATGTGATGACTTATTTTGTATAGAATAAAGCTTGATCCAGCTTAGGAGTCAGGGCTGTTTTTATATTGTAACACTATTAGTATATTAGGTATTATTATAGTCTTATCACTTGCCTGTATTTTGTTCAATAATCATGAAGACTTACAAAACGAGATGTTATAGGCCTATCCTTCCTATGATATAGGAAGAATATCATGGCAGTTACTTTTTCATACTATAAATTAAAAGGTGAATGAGAACGTCTCTGTCAGCTCAATTGTCATGTAAAAAAAGATTGTAATTTTATAATTATAATAATTGTTTGCAGATTAATATTTTACCATTCTTTGTGTCCTGAAGTAAATGTCCCTTTTTCTGTTTCAGTTCTCAGAAAAGCAGTGGGCCTATTAAACAATGCTTAGAGAGCATTTGTGTGTGATTTGAGTTGGACCGAAATCTGAAAACTTAAAGAGAATGACCTGTTTAGTTGGCTCAAAGTTCATTAAAACAACTATTTCAAAAGCTGAAGTGATTTTCTTTTTTTATATTATAGTTAGAATATGTATAACTCAATGTTTTAAATAATTGGAAAAGCTGAATAATCGTTCCAAACTTACTGATTAGTCTGCGAAAATAATCGATGATTAGTCGATTAATCGTTCCAATAATCGTTAGATTAATCGATTATCAAAATAATCGTTTGTTGCAGCCCTACTAAAATGCCCCCCACAGTCACCAGATCTCAACCCAATAGAGCATCTTTGGGATGTGGTGGAACGGGAGCTTCGTGCCCTGGATGTGCATCCCACAAATCTCCATCAACTGCAAGATGCTATCCTATCAATATGGGCCAACATTTCTAAAGAATGCTTTCAGCACCTTGTTGAATCAATGCCACGTAGAATTAAGGCAGTTCTGAAGGCGAAAGGGGGTCAAACACAGTATTAGTATGGTGTTCCTAATAATCCTTTAGGTGAGTGTGTATATATATATATATATATATATATATATATATATATATATATATATAATATACAGGCATGTGAAAAAGAAAGTACACCCTTTTAATTCTATGCTTTTATGTATCCAGACATAATTTAAAAAAAAAACATTAGTCCTTGGCAGGTCTTAAAATCAGGGAAATACAACCTCAGATGAACAACAATACATGGCATTTTACACTGTAGGTTTATTACACTCATGGTTTATTTAAATAAAAGCCATGTGTAATAAGTACACTATGATTTAATTGCTTGTAGAACCACCTTTAGCAGCAATAACTTGAAGTAATTATTTTCTATATGACTTTATCAGTCTCTCATCGTTGTGGAGGAATTTTGGCCCTCTCTTCTTTACAACGTTGCTTCCGTTCATTGAGGTTTGTGGGCATCCGTTTATGCACAGCTCTCTTTATTATGCCCTGATACATAAAACCATAGAATTCAAAAAGGTGTACTTCCTTTTTCACATGACATAAACATAGATACAACATAGTTGACATGTGATTCATGCTTGTTCATTTTTTGTCCTTCAGGAGAAGGGACATCCTTGCTATAGTGGGTGAGGATTTAAAAAACCTTTGGAAGCTCTTCAAAACTGCAAAGGAGGCCACAGAGGGAAAAACCTTTTCTAATTGGAAATTGCAGGTGAGTAAAACTAAAACCACAAGACTCGCCTAAACACAAGACAAGAGCTTTCCTCTCCTTGCTCTGCACATTATCTTGGTTCATTCAAGGCTGTGTTGGGACTACTAGTAATGTAGCACACTAGACCATCCATGCTGGTGTGTGTCTTATTTGCAGCTTTCAGAAATATGGCCAGACATCAACAAGAAGCTTCCGGAGGACGTACTTGGCCTGCTGCGTGTTTTGCGCAACAAACTGGTGCATGGGTAAGTGAGACACAAATGTCCACCCAGATTTCAGTTACTTACATCTCTGTTGCCTTTTATATTTTTAATGCCTCTGTTTTGATTTTAGTTCCCTCTATCTTTTGTTTCTAACAGGAATGTCAGAAATGAATTTGAAGAGAACAACATTTTTGGTCTTTTCCCGGACTTCTTCATCAGTTTACATAGAGTGGCTAAAGAATTAGACTGGGATTATTGGAGAAGCTGAGAGGACATTACATGGCGAAAGCGTTTGCAGTTTTCACATTCAGCACAGAGGGCAGTCATTGTTCTCAAACTTGTTACATAACTTCATTTCAATTGGGTTTTGTAGTTCAGATAGATTCACAGATTAAAGGTTAAAAAGGCTGTGATTATATTTTCTCTTTTAATTACAAAGTTTTCAGGGTCTACTCAAATAAGGTTTTGTTTGAACCAACTAAAATTGCAGCAGAAAGTTGGTGGATGTATATTAGTAACAAAAACATGTTTGTTTGAATTTTGCTTTGTGGATTCTCTGTAACCGACCACTACTCAAAATACAATTCTGAGTAAGTTATTATGAAATCAAGATTGAATCAAATCAGGGCTGTAATAATTTTATATGATTGACATCTTTCCTATCATGTAAATAAATGGTTTATGAAAGCAGTCTCAGAGTATGTCTTCTGGAAATTACATAAAGCAGGGCCTACAATCAAAACTAGCGATGCACACGAAAATTATATTTTATGTTTGATAATTTCTTATTATTATCAATGTTGCAAACAAGGTTTTTTTTTCCAAAGTAAAAAAGAACAATAAATTATTACTTTCATTTAGCAAAAGCACACTAAATTGTTAAAAAAAAGAGGAATCGAAAAGTAACCGAACATGCGCAATTTTAGAAAAGAGATGCGCTTTAAGGATTTAATTATTGAATTAAAAAATAAAACTTTTTTAGTTTTAGACTATTAGTCCTCCAAAATGTGTCTATTTTATAATACCTGGTAATGTTCAAGACAACCGCCGTAAAATAAAAAGAAGATTTCTATGGTCCAGTGACGCTGTGTGCCACACTCAAAATGGCGCCCTGGACTCTCCATCTTTCACACATTCATGTTCCGCTAGCGCCCTGCGTGCGCTGCCTGTCAAACTGAATAAAAAAGCCCACCTGTTTATCGCTGTATGACAAGTGAACTAGTACCGTCTGCTCATAATTCGTCGTATACAGGTACGTAAAGCTTTTATCTGTTTATATGACATTATACCGGAGTCCTTTATTAGCTCCTGTGCTTTTGGGTCAACTGCTATTCGTGTGCATGAATTGTGGCCAAGAACTGTGACGCTAATGTTGTTTACAGATAAGTGTCTGAGGATTTATTTGTTTACCTACGTTGGCCAGTGACTGAAACTCTCCTAGCTATAGTAGTATTATGAAATCTGTCATTTAAAAAACACAATGTTACTATCCTGTATGTCAAGTGTTTTAACTAGTTACTTCAGCAAAGTATGACATAATAACTCTATAATTTGTATTATGTTGATATTGTATGCTGCCATTTTGGGCAGTTCTCTCTTAGATATTAATTTGAAGGGGCCAACCTGGTAAAATAAAGATGTAATATTAAAAATGCATAGAAATGATTAGGCATTGTTGAATGTTTTGATACACATGTAATGTATGATTGCTCTATGACAGGCATTATTACTTTTACAGAGGCTCACTCATCATGGCATTAAGGAGTGCGAGTCGTCTGCTTGTGAACAGCCAGAGAGGTGTCCTCTTTACAGCTTGCAGGTCACAGAAAACTGCTGCGGCTTCTCCATGGGGTCAGAACAGCAGTTTGTCAGATATATGTCTTTATATAATGCACACTTAAGCACCCCTGTGTTGTTCCAGACCTGTTTGGTTTTTATTTTTGGAACATAAAAAGAATGTTGAAAAATTATAAGCTCAAAAAAATCTACCATAACAGTAATCCAAACCGTTTTTGAGATAATAGGCCTGTATAAGCCATATATTTCAATACTTCTGAAGCTATACAGTGTATTCATGTGATGAACAGACTGAAACTGAGTCTTTATTCAAATCATTCATGCAAATCATTATGCAATATAACGATTCTTTATATTAAAAGAACAGCATACAGGTTTGGAACAACATTAATCATTTTCATTTTGGGGTGAACTATCCCTTTAAATGTGGTCATTAGATATTTATTCCACAGCTCAAATCTAGAATATAAGTCATGTTCTTCAAGCATGTCAATTTCCTTACCTGAAATAATATTTGGTATGATTTAGTGATCAAGAAACATTTATTATTATAATCAGTGTTGAAAAAAGTGCTACTAAATATTTTTTGTTGTATTATTTTTTTCAGGATTCTTTGATGGTAGAAAGTTTTGATCTTTTATAACATTATAAATGTCTTTACCGTCGCTTTTGATCAATTCAATGCATCATTTCTGAATAAAGTATTAAAGGATCTTAATGATCCCAAACTTTTGAATGGGAGTGTATTTCTAATGCATATTTCTATTCGCACATCCATAACATTGTAAAGATACACAAATGTATAATTCTATTATTCTTCTATCAGATGCAGAGAAGTCTGGTGAAAAGAAGCAAGTGAAAACACGTATGTTTACTTCTTTTGCAATATTTCCTGCTGTAAGCTTATCTGCTGATCTCTGACCTGTGTGTTTGTTATATCCCGTCATGTAAACCTCAGCTAAAGTGCAGTTTGACTGGCGTGATGCGTTGGAGCTGGAGGGTCTCCTGACGGAGGAGGAGGTCATGATTCGAGACTCTTTTCGCACTTACTGCCAGGAGAAACTCATGCCGCGTATCCTGATGGCCAACAGAAATGAAGGTGAGTGTATATTTATATCACAATGACAGCTTGTAGTTTACAACAGGACTTCTAAAATGGGCTACGGGTTGTGGAGGGTGTTAGTTTCCATTGATTTAGCATTTTTAAACTAACTTCTCTTTGTTCTCCACTAGTTTTTCATCGTGAGATTGTGTCTGAGATGGGGGAACTGGGTGTTTTGGGCCCAACTATTAAAGGTATGTATAATATATCAGTCCCATATTGGTTAGCAGTCGATATTAGAGTAGAGCGGCACAATTAATGGAAATAAAATCACAAAAACGTGGGTATCAAATTGCAAAAGCTGCGATTTAAAAGAATATATGCACTGCATGTTTGATGATACACTTTGTTCAGTGTCTCAGAGTGGTTTGGTTCACAGGAAATGCTGCTCCACACAAACCCGGTGTTTTTTTTTTTTGCTGCTCCACACAAACTCCATCTCTGCGTTGCTTATAATGTGCATTTGGAAACCGTCTTCCCAAACTTGTAATAAAAAGCACATATAAACCAACTGAGACACTGTTAAGGGCTCCCAGCGGGTTTCCATCAAAAAAAAGTTTGATGGTTTAACTTTTGAAAATGAAATCAAGACAGACATAAATACTAGTATTTTAAAAAATAAAAATAAAAAAGAGTTTTCAAGAAAGATGTAATAATTGTATTTTACAATACAACTGTACAATTACATCATTATATTATTTTTTTTAAATATTTTTTTTAAATGTACAATAGTATTACAATAGTAATATTTCTTATTTTGTTTAATATTTTTATTTAGTAATAACCATAAATTATAATTATTATAACTATAGTTATACTGATGCAGTATATAATCACGAAATTGCCAAATTGTGCAGCCCTTTATTAGAGATTTAAAAGATGCTTCCCCTCCTCTAATGCCTAGTCAGGAAATAAAGAATGAATTGCTTGTTGAAAGTGCAACCGGTTACACTGTAATAAGGTCTCATTTGTTAATATTAGTTAATGCATTAACTAACATAAACCAGCAATGAGCAATATATTTTAACAGAACATTCTAACGTTCATTTTAGTTCACAGTGCATTAACTAATGTTAACAGATACAACTTTCAATCTTAAAAATGTATTAGTAAATGTTGAGATTAACATAAACTAAGATTAATAAATGCTGTACTAGAAGTACGTTCATTGTTAGTACATGTTAACTAATGTTAACAAATGAAACCTTATTGCAAAGTGTTATTTTGTAACCATATATACTTTTCTGTAACTCTCCCTCACTCTTCCCTGTTAAGGTTACGGCTGTGCTGGCACAAGTTATGTGGCGTACGGTCTCATCGCTCGCGAGGTGGAGCGAGTGGACAGCGGCTATCGCTCGGTCATGAGTGTGCAGTCCTCTCTGGTCATGCACCCCATCAACGCTTACGGCACCGAGGCACAGAAGCAGAAATACCTGCCCAGACTGGGTGAGACTGCAAGACCAATAAGAGAATGTGTCACAATGCAAAAAATCTTAATGGTTCACATTCTTTATCTTTTGATTATGGGCTGAAATATTGCTCATAAGACTTACCCACTTAAGTTCATAACCATGCAGACGTCATATTGTCTATGTGTCGCGCAGCACAAGGAGAGATTCTAGGTTGCTTTGGACTGACGGAGCCAAACCACGGCAGTGACCCGGGCGGCATGGAGACCAGAGCCAAGTACAACCCGTCCAGTCGCACCTTCACCCTCACCGGCTCTAAGACCTGGTGCGTCCAGCGTGCGCTCTTATATATCGCAGGTTTAGAACAACAGTAAAGGGCAAGAAATCACAAGGTTACAAGTAACAGTCTGTGTCCACATGGTGGTGCCATAAGGCTTTTTTAAGGACTGCGTTCAGTTAATGGGCAGTTGCTGCCAGTGCCAGAATGCAGCAGTTATGGTGTGTTTTTGTAGGCCATCCCAGAAGTTTGCATGACCCTGATTCCCTTGGCAGAAACCCAAAAGGATTTTTTTCCACTGGCTTTTGGATTATTGTAGAAAATAAGCTCTGTGACCAACAAAAGATTATGATTCTTTCTTACACCTTTTGTTCATCATGATAATCTTTACACATTAACATCACCTGAAAGAAAAATCTAAAATTAGACTATAAACGAACTACACCACGGTCATTTGACTTCAACGTCATCACCACTGCGACGTATCTTTCAGTCTTTACTTAAAATCTACAAGTTGGAAAGTTTGAGTTAGAATAGTTTGTATAAACTCAACAAAGCTGTAAAAGTCGTGAACTAGTGAAAAGAGTTAACGATTTATATCCCGACAACCTTTGTAGTCCATTTAGCCACTTGTTAACAACTGCCTTTTTCAAGATAAGTAAAATCATTCAAATGTATTTTATGCTTTAGAAAAAAAAAACGTTAAAATATCTTGAGCTTGTGTTAACCACACATCTTATTTCAGGCATTTAACCAAAACACCATTGACTTCCAGACGGTGGAACCAGAAGTGCAAAAATGCTCATTTCCGGTTTTTAGGTCTCATTCCTGCAGCACTTATTTTGTAAAATGATCTAAATTATGGACAAGAGAAGTGACAAAGAGTCTCTTCTATCGTCTTACACTTGCTTCATTCTCTCGCACAGGATTACGAACTCACCCGTGGCTGATATCTGTGTGGTTTGGGCCAAATGCGAGGACGGGAAGGTGCGTGGTTTCATCCTGGAGCGTGGCATGAAGGGTCTGTCCACCCCGCAGATCGAGGGCAAGTTTTCTCTGCGGGCTTCAGCCACCGGCATGATCATCATGGACGAGGTGGAAGTGCCAGAGGAAAACCTGCTGCCCAAAGTTTCAGGACTGGCGGTGAGTGAGAGAGAAACTGCATGAGACACCATGGCTCAGGGTTTATTGGCTTGACTTGATTATTAGTAGGCATAGACATAAAGTAAATGCAAGATATAGTCTTTCACAATAATGAAGCACTGGCTTGAAGTCGGCATGAAACGGAAGTTGCGGTAGTCTTTTCTTCCTATTGTGACGTATATCTGGGTGATAAGGCTTCTCTCAAACAAGCACCTTGTCAATGCATAATAGGTTTTTTATTATATTTTTTTAGTGAATGTCAATGCTGATATAGCTGTGATTTTCTTCCTTGTTCACCAGGGTCCATTCGGGTGTCTGAATAACGCTCGCTATGGCATCGCTTGGGGAGCTCTGGGAGCCGCAGAGTTTTGTTTCCACGCCGCACGACAGTACACACTGGACAGGTCAGAACACGTCTGCAATCTCATTAATGAGTGACTGGATAATGAGGGAAGTGTGGACTGTCTCAGTAAATTTGCTTGCTTGCTAAGATTGGCTCTCCTTATAGTTCATGTGTATATGGTTCTTGCAGATGTTGTTTTTCAGAATGTAGCATAATGTTCCTGTAATGTTCTCTTTAGGATCCAGTTTGGAGTTCCTCTAGCCAGAAACCAGCTGATCCAGAAGAAGATGGCAGACATGCTGACCGAGATCACCATTGGCCTGCAGTCGTGTCTGCAGCTGGGCCGACTGATAGATGACAAAAAGTGAGGTTCATCTTTACGCTGCTCTGGTTTTTAGGATTTATAGACATGGAACATCTCAGAGGTTTTTTTTAAAATGGTGATTTCCAGGTCAAAAAAAGTCATGGATACACAGTATATATGGCCTGGATGCCAGCCCGAACCCCGCCCACAACATTTTTTGATCGGGAAGTTCGGTCTGGACTCGATCCATTGAGGAGTAATTATGATCGGTTCAGAAATCGTCGGGCCAATCAAATTGCCAGGGCGGGCTTTATACGATGATGGACAGATGATCTGCAGTTACGTAATCCTCACGTTATCAAAGAGCGCTTGGGTTGAACTGGTTTCCCTCAGAGATGACTGCCGCTGGAGAACTGAGATGTAGAGATTCCGCTATCGCGTCCGTTGTAAAAGAAATCGACAGCGCATTCATTTTAAAAGACGAACATATAACTGCAATCAAGGCATTTGTCGATCGGAAAGATGTGTTTGCCGTCCTTCCTACAGGATTCGGCAAAAGTTTAATTTATCAGCTTGCTCCGATGGTAACTAAGAAGATGGGACGCAATGAAAACCCTGTGGTCGTTGTAGTTTCTCCTTTGGTCGCACTCATAGAGGGCCAAGTAAAAGAAGCAACACTCGTTATTTTACTTCTTCCAGCGTGCGTGCATTTGAGTTCTGTAGTTGACAACTGTGCTATGCAAAGTAGTTGACTTACTGCGTTACTCTCATTGGTTGTAGGTCTATCCAATTGAGTGCAGAGTTTTTTTTTTCCTGGTTCGGTTAAGACACGCCTCATAATCAAAGCCCTATGAAGCAGTATCAGACTCACATTCTGACTAGAATATGAGTATGACGAAGTCAGGCTACAGTATATAGTGACCTAATTTTAGTTTTACTCAGGCCTCAAATATTTAAAGGAGCTGTATTTAAGAAATTTATTTCAATTAATCATAAAATGGCCCTGATATGTCACTAGACATTAAGAAATCATGTTCATTTCAAATACTTATATCACTGACAACAGTAGTCCGGCCAGGATATTGTCATTTAAAAAGTGAAGTTGCCGGCCCTCAACTGATGTTGATGTTGTCATGTTGTATTTTGGTCTGATGCTCCACCCTCCACCTATCTACCAATCACAAAGTCAGTAGTGTTGCGAGATCCGGGTTGCCAGCTCTGCTCTAGTTACCACTTCTTGGAGCAGACTACGTTCCTGCTGGATCCTGCAGCCTATCTGGCAACCTCGAGTCAGGGAGGAGGGGGAGGGGATACACCGCTCTACAGTCATTTGAAAGTGATTGCAGTACCAGTTTTGGCCACAATCTTACATACAGCTCCTTTAACTGACTTGGTCATTATGACTATTTTCCCTATAATATGATTAACAAAAAAGACTTTTGTGAATTCTGGTTAAGAAGAGAAACATGGAAACATTAGACACTTGCCATTCGTTCACTGCAATTGCATTTTTTTTTTAACAAAGTAATGTGATTAATAAATTATTTTTTAAAAGGTCCAGTACTTGAGTCATTCTTTAATTTTTAAGTCACTTCAATATTTATCATTACAAAAATACCCCAGTAGTTTCCTGTCAAAAGGCCACTTCTAACTTTACTAAAACATACAATTTAATTTAAAATGTAGACCCTGTCTTGAAAGAATGATGTTAATGTGTATTAAGAAGATAGATGTCTAACTGATCACATCCAAGCTAACGGTCTTTACTCCCTGATCTACATTCACAGAGCGGCTCCAGAGATGATATCTATGCTGAAGAGGAACTCCTGCGGGAAAGCCCTGGATATCGCTAGACACGCCCGAGATATGCTGGGAGGAAACGGCATCGCAGACGAGTATCACGTCATTCGTCACGTCCTGAACCTGGAAGCCGTCAACACTTATGAAGGTCAGAGAGAGTGACGGAGATGTGTATACAGTGAAAAGATCAGGCATTACAGAGAAACCCGTGTGTAATCCCTGATTTAAACTTCCTGCTGGTCACAGCACAGACGAGAGATCTGTAATGCTTTGAGCTTTTAGGAAAGTGATCGGGATTACAAAGAAAGTTCGATATTTTTGGAGGACATCAGAAAGCTTGCATTAAAGCACTTTTTATATTATTTCCAGTTGGTTGCCTTGAACAGCAACAAACTTGTTCAAAACATCCTGTCTCTTCCCTTGTTCTTTTTTTTTTTAAAGGAATAATACATAATTTCATAAACACTGCCACTGTAACCCAAAACAAATGAGTCGCCATAAAGGTGGCTCTTAGTGCATAGTTTTACACTAAGTAAAGAACATAAATCATTTGCAATCATAAAGCGATCAAGTTTATTGAGATATTAAAGTCAGGTGCGTGTCGCGATATTTTGTTTTTATTTTCAATATAAAGCATTTGGATTTATTATGGGCTTTTTCTTGTTCACTGTTTTTTCCTAGCAAGATCTGGCAACACGAACAAATCCATGCAAACCAGTAATGTTTTTTCTAAGGCATGTTTATAAAAGCTACTTAAATGTCCTTATTTAACTAAGGCCTAATCCTTGCTTAATCTAAGTCCTGTCTGTGAAACCAGGCCTAAAACTTTTTAGCGGAACACAATTTTGGCTTTGATTTTCTAGCAATTTTTAGTCCAAATAACATTGTAAAATAAAATATGACACTCCTGCTTTACAGTAAACTTAAACTTCTGTAACTTTATAGCCCCTTTCACACAGAGATTCCAGAAAATACACTGATAATGTGTCTCGGGTAGGGTACCGAAACCGGGCACCGATATGGAACCGGTACATAAGTAACCGGACCGAATCAAAACGCAGATTTCGGTGCCACTTAAATGCCTCAGCTGTCTGTTGAATATTTGCCCTCTGGTTCTCCTAAACGGACGCATCATCACCGCATGTGATCGCTAGTTAACCCTTTTGACGCGTACGATCGTTCACACTGGTGTGCTTAATGATCAGATCGCGTGATCATCAACTTGATCATAAGGTTTATTTTAGGTTTCAGACATTTAAATACTCTAGCAAAACAACATTTATAGTTTGTAAAATACACACTGATGTCTATGGAAGCGGCAATAACAATCCTTTCAATTGTAAATTGATGACGTGTTTAGATAGATATTGTGTAGGTAACTATAAAATTTACTGTTCTTCTCACACTTCACCAGCCACTTACTTTAATGTATTTCGGGAGAAGTGGATGAATTGACGTGTTGTAGGCCTAAATCCGAGAGATCCAATTCTCTGAACTGCAGTGCGTACTAACATGACGCCCATTGTGCGTTATAGATCAACTAACATAAATCATTATATAGGTTTCTTGAATTACAAAACACATCCACTTACATGTATTTAAGAATAAAAATATCAGCCAAGGACTGACTGACATGTAACGCAACCAATCACTGTTCGTTTTGTTCCGCGTCATGTTTAGTGTGAACATGTAAAGTCGATGTCCATCACATGCAATAACAGACCGGCTTAGTGCGTACATCTAATAAATGAATCATTCAAGAACTTTGTGTTTACTGCACGAATAGAGGTGCGAACCTCACATAGCCTACTTTTGAAAATCCAGCATTCAGTTGATCCTGATGAACGCTCGTCGCAGTTGTAAATGACTGCGTTCTTCCACGGTGGGTTCGCATCACGGCATTTAAGGTGATGCGTTCTAAAATAACGCTCACCTTGTGCTGGACATACAATAAGTCAGGAGAGGTGTCGTATTTGGCCAGAGAAGGCAAAAAATGTGAAAAGAATTGCTGAAATTTAAAGCTGGTTTGTAGCATACCGAATACAGACTTTGCTGTTATTACTGTAGTGTTATTTAGTGTTAAATTATTCTATTTGGGTTAGGTGGCTTAGGTTTTTTTTTTAAGTATCAGTTCAGGCACCGGTACCGTTTTAAAAGTATTGATTTGGCACCGGTATCGGAAAAAAAAAAAACGATACCCAACCCTAGTCTCGGGATTGTTTGATTTTGGTTCATTCACACTGCCAGAGATTGTCTGGAATCTGTGCGTGTTCACACACATCCCGTAAAGACATGTGGCATGTAATGTCTCTGCAGCATCTTAAGTTGGCTTATGATCTGCGGTTTCTCTCTCTCGTTACCATGCTCGTGCATTTTTTTCTGATTTGATCATAAACTAGCGCATCGCGTACTATATCACTAAACGATCTCAGCTTCAGCGTCATCACTACGGCACACCCCTTACGGCATTGGTCCTGCCTTTTGTTCACACAGGGTGTTACATTCCCGGACTGAACCCAGCAATGTTACCAGGTCCTCATCCCGGGATCGATCCCGAAACGTGTTTACGTTCACACAGAAGGCACTCTATCAATTCTTCAGCAATTTTCTGGGATCAACGCTCTGTGTGAAAGGGGCTTATTACACTTTTATTTTTTAACTGTATTCTTAAACATTCATGAATTGCAAGCATTTGAGTTCAGATCTATGCTCAAAAAGGGGGTGACAGTTAACAGGTTAAACTTTGTTCTTTTATGAAGTGAAACTTGCACAGCCAGATTGCCCATTTAGATTTATGGCCATTACTGTGAATTAGCTCTTGATGTGAATACATTTACTTGATCAGCTTCGCTTATTAAGTGTCAACGCAATATTTTTATCTCAAATGGAGGAAAAAAAGGTTATCCTAAAACTGTGGTTGTCTATTTGGATGTCCTATTTGCTGGACATTGCCCTTTTTGGAGTGTACCACAGCTGAAGAGCATGGGGCGACCAAAAAGACAATACAATTTATGTTGGACCTTATTGAGACTTTATCAAAAAGACTTTGAGATCCTTCTATATATTGTTTTGGTCAATTTTATTTTAATTTCTTGTCATATTTATTTATTTTATTTAGTCTTATGGATCTTGGGCTTTGTTGTAAATAGTTATACACAAAATATTTCATAAATAAAGAATCACAAAAAAAAACGAGGTAAAACTTGGTATAAAACCTGATATAATAGTGAGCTAGTTCTGATGTACATATGAATGCATCCATTGATTGAAGGCTTGATTGAGTAACTTCTTTTTTTCCAAACACATTGATTATTGTGGTCTTTTGTAGGTACCCATGACATCCATGCCCTGATCCTGGGCAGAGCCATCACTGGACTGCAGTCCTTCACCGTGGACAAATGAGCTGCCGTCTCCCTACTATACACATCATTTACACTGACTTCTGCTGCCTTCGCCCTAAAGTATTACCCATTCAGTTCCTGAACGCTTGTAGAGTTTTTATCATTTACCATTACAACTTATTTGAAATCTTTAATAAATTACAATATTCTCTGAATCTGGTTAAAAAAAAACACGTGTTAGCAGTATTTCAGGTACTGTATATGATAATTTAATGTCTGTACTTTATGTAGTCTTTGTCAGATATCTATTTTTCTATGTCCTCATAACTAGATCACAAGACTTTGAATGAAAGTGTGACCGCAGTAGATTTGTAAAGAAATGCACCAAGGATCGCAAAAATGAAAATGTGCATGTTTTTCTTTGTACATTGATGTATTATAAAAAAATCTCAAAGTGTTAGGCTGTTTTGAACAAATTATATTTAATGCAGGTGAATAAAATGTAAAATATTACAGTGTTTCCCCTTTTGGTTTCATTACGCAGATGGTACCGGAGGCTCTATGGTCTGTTATCAAATCCTCATTTTGTAACGGTTGCATCTTGCCATCTATATTTATTCAGAGCTGCTCATTTGTACTGAGAAAGCCATAAAGAGAATTGACAACGAATTAAATGGGTTTTCAGTAGCTAATGCTGGGGGAGAAAAGCCTTAATCCTACAAATCTCAAACCTTAGTTATTGAAGCAACCAATAATGTAGTTACCAAAACCACTTTAGGATAAAGAAGGAATAATAGTAAAAGTCTTTTAGATAAACCATGTAATGAAACACATTTAAATACACGTAAATACAAATCAGATTAGCATATTCATTCACATTTGAACTGTCTTTAACGTACTATAATAAGAAAAGAAAAACTTAATCAGCTACACTCACTTAAATATTAACGTTTGAACAGTTACTCCTTAAGTTGAAGTTAAATTACTGTAAGTAAACAAGACTCTGCCTTTGTTGTGATGTGTGTATGTACCACAAGTAACACAAAAATCAAAAGTGCAAAAGTGTACTCTGCCTCATGTTCTAGTTAGGTTGTGTCTCTACTGCTCAGTGTTGTGCTGCAGGACTTTATTGACGGTGGCCAGGGATTGACTGGCTCCCTGTAGCTCCATACTCAGCTGACTGCATCTCTCCAGCACCTCCGACAGCTCAGCGAGGCTGGCCTCCATGCCCTGACTGTGCTGCTCATAATACTCAAACATCTGCTCCTTCACCCGCTGACACATCTCACTCACCTGCACGGACACACACCGCACATTATTCACATCGCAATTCCATTACAATTCACTGAAAGCTGTGTCTGCATTTGAAAGACTAAATGTACAGTCTGCATTACTGATTTTGCATAATTTTAGGTCAGTTGTCACTGAGCCGTGTTACACAATCATTTATAGGGTCATTCTGTGTCAACTCAACCAGAGGTCCTAGGCTAATTTTTTTTTATTTTGATCATTTCCGGTGAAAGAAATACATAAATGTAGACGAAAGCCAAAATATTTAATATCATGAATGTATGTTGACTGAGTAATCCACTATTTTGTAGAAGGGGGTCAAAATGACCATTTTTCAGCCAAATTACAGGGGGTAAAAATTACTTTAAAAAGATGGCAGCATCATTATTTTATTTTTACAGAGATTGGTAGGTCTGTTAATAAAATCTGTTGACTTAAGCAATCTTTGTTGCATTATATGCCAAAAGTGACATTTTTACCCCCTGTAATTTGGAGATGGTCCTCACTGCAAAACACGAAATCCAGGGGGAGGAGTTGGATCCAGATCCAACTCCTCCCACCTTACATATACCTAAACCTACCCATCTCCGCCCCCTGATCCCTAACCCCACCCCTAATCCTACCCATCTCCACCCCTTAAATCTGGATCCAACTCCGCCCCTTGATCCCTAATCCTACCCATCTCCGCCCCCTGATCCCTAAACCTACCCATCAGGGATGGAAATTAGCACCCGCCACCAGCCAAATGCGGGTGATTTTGTGTTGTGGCGGGTAAACTCGCTTCACCTACCGGCCACCGTGGCAGGTAAATAAAAATAGCATACTGTTTCACCCGGACGGCGGACACTTTTAGAGGAGGCACACTTTCAAACAAAAATGTGGCGTTACATCGCAGGCGTAGAGGTCTGCAGAGAAAACATCATGGTGCGTTCACACCAGACGAGAATAGAGCGTCTGGCGCGAGTGATTTCATTGTTAAGTCAATGCAAAGACGCGTTACGCGCGTAAAAAATTCCTACGGCGCGAATGAGGTGTAGAGCGCGGCGTGGTAGATGCGAATACGCCTCATTCGCACGGCAAGTTCGAGCGTCTGACGCGTTCCGCGCGCATGATTTTATTGAGTGCTTTTGTGCATTCACGCGTTTGACGCGAATTCGCGTCTGCCGCCCGAGTTGAAAAATCTGAACTTTGGCGTCAATTCGCGCCGCGTTAACCAATCAGGAGCCTAGCTGCTGTCACGTGGTGAAGTATCTGGATGCTTCAATAAATTATTTTGTACTAAATGCCTGATGTGGTTCTAATGCACAACAAAGCAAATATTTTATCACATAAAACTTGATTTCAATATATGAGACATATTCATTTTGTATTGAATGCTATTTATTCCATTTCATATCTAGATTATATTAAATATTATTCTAATGTAAAGGCAACCAACATACTATAGCTCATAAATCCGTGTCTGGAGAGTGTTGTGTGAGAGAAAAAAAAAATCACAGGACAGGCTGGCTCAAATTATCATCAAAACAAAAATAAATGACAGATTAGGTGGATGAGGCCGAGGGTGAGAGAAAGAGAAAATGTCAGTATTTCATTGAGACTTGAGATTAAATGAACTGCTTAAGTATTCTTGTAGTATTAATTTTCACATGCAGTTACACATTGTCGGTTAAAAACAAGAAAGTGGCTGGTAAAAACATTGAGTGGCTGGTAGATTTTGAAATCCACCAGCCACAGTGGCCGGTGGACAAAAAGGTTAATTTCCATCCCTGCTACCCATCTCCGCCCCCTAGCCATCTCCACCCCCTGATCCCTAACCCCACCCCTAAACCTACCCATCTCTGCCCCCTGATCCCTAATCCTACCCATCTCCGCCCCCTAGCCATCTCCACCCCCTGATCCCTAACCCCACCCCTAAACCTACCCATCTCTGCCCCCTGATCCCTAATCCTACCCATCTCCGCCCCCTAGCCATCTCCACCCCCTGATCCCTAACCCCACCCCTAAACCTACCCATCTCTGCCCCCTGATCCCTAATCCTACCCATCTCCGCCCCCTGATCCCTAACCCCACCCCTAATCCTACCCATCTCCACCCCTTAGATCTGGATCCATCTCCGCCCCCTGATCCCTAATCCTACCCATCTCCACCCCCTGATCCCTAACCCAACCCCTAAACCTACCCATCTCCGCCCCCTGATACCTAACCCCACCCCTAATCCTACCCATCTCCACCCCTTAGATCTGGATCCATCTCCGCCCCCTGGATCTCGTGTACTGCAATGAGGTGCTACTCGTATATTTGGCTCCAAATCTCAGATGAATATTATTGAGGTTTGAGACCTCTGAAATGTGTATACAGCGTGTTCAATTAATTTGTCGTTACCAAAACCGCATTGCATAGATAAAGCAGAACAATACTAGCGGATATTTTACGATAATCCGCATGGGCCGATAACTGTACCTGCTTGGCTTAAGTAAAAGTTAAGTGTTTTGTGCATCTAAAAATATAATAATGTGCATAAAATAAAAATGTTGCAGAGAACATTCCATTTCTGATCATCTTTAAAATCATCCATGTTTTATGATATTGCCGCATATTTATATAGTAAATATGATATTTTCTGATATTTTGTTGGCATTATTTTTGCCAACTGCACTGACTACTTAAAAATAAGTCATAAACTAATGTTTCTTATGTTTTTATAGTCTCAGAAGTCACATCCACGGACCGTGGGCTGAACGTCTGATACATAAGGCACACAAAATGGGAAACACTTGTTGAAACACAATTCTACAGGATTTCTGGGAGACGTGTGCGTCACATTCTTTAACGGTCCGCTGAAAAACAAAACGCAGTGACGCCAAACCGCCTCATGGAAGAAGAAACTGTTGTGTTTACAACTGTGACAGCGAACGCTTATCAGGATCAACTAAACGCTGTGTTTTAAAAAATTTCAGAGAGTAATGCACCATTGTTGCAGTAAATTTGCACAACGTTCTTGAATGAATGACTTATTGGTTGCCGGCCTGTTATTGTAGCGATATAGACTACATTTTCACGCTCCTAAACATGACGCTGAACATTACAAGCTGTGATTGGTTGCTTTAAATGTCAGTCAGACGGCCTCTTGGGCGGTCCTTGGCCAATGACAACTGCGATGGAGTCAGACTGAAGGTCTGGTTATGTGAGACTATGTCTGTTGTAATGATTACCTTTTTAATGAGCTTTTCCTCAAAACTGTTCATCACATGTTGGTCCATGGCCCTTCTCTCATTGATTCTCTCAATAAGGTCCTGTGCTTTCTTTCCAATCTCATCTATCCGTGAATTTGTGGGAGATAAAACGCCAACATCTTCCATAGTCCTGTTGATGGGTGAACTTCTAATTGAGGTATTTGAAACACCGATACCAGAGTCCTCACTGTCACAGGGTGAGAAATAGGTAAAATGACTGTAAATATAATCAACAATAGTATGAGTATTATAAAAGAATATGTTTCCTATTACCGGCTCACCTTTGCTGCTCAGAGCTGTCATTTATGGTAACAAATGATAAAGTTTCACCTGTTGAGTTAAGACCATCATCTGGCACCTGCACAGAAAAGATTCACTTCAGTATTTATATTAGAATATTATTAGATATTTGACCACATATGTCAGATGTACCTTTGCTGATACATGGTGATGACTTAATTTGGGTGTTGACTGCAATGTCATGGATCCTGAATTTCCAAAGAAATGCTGAGCCATGATCTGAAAAACATAAAATATAACACATATATATGATGAATACAAGTTGACAATTAACCTGCGTCCTCATACAAACACGTACTGGCGTAAGTTACCATATTGCGTAAAAGATTTTTATACTTTTGATATAAACCGCATGATATCCAAAAGCGTCAAAGAATAACATGTTTCTTCTATTGTACATGTAATTAATATGGTATGTAAATAATCCATAATTTCACCACTAAAAATGAGGTCAAACGAACTTTTTTAAATCTCGCGTTCAAATTAGCATGTTAAATACTGATATTGTAACTAGCTCGTTGCTTAGCACGTCTGAATAACTTAAACTTACACACTTTAATGTGTCACCGTCGAATTATGTGTCTCTAGGGTTTTTTCAACCGTCAAAAGTAACAAAGTAACAAGTGAGAGCCCTGAGAGGTAGTTTTGCTCGTTTTATCGAAGTTGTTTTCATATCCACAACCATAGACAGTATGTCCACAACCCGCGATCATGCACGTGACCTGCACGCGCGCCGTGTGATTCTATGGGAAAACCACAACCTTACTTACGTTTTTTAACGTAAAAAAAAAAACACACACACACATCGCTTTTATTAATATTTTGCATTTGCTTTTATTTTTATATTTTTCATGGTAATTTTATTTCGATTTTTAGTCATTTCGTTATGTGCTTTTGTCATTTTATTAGTAGTTTTTAATAAAAAGAAAATATTGCTGCTTTTTAGGTTTAATTTATTTTGGTTTTAGTTAGTTTTAGTTTTTACTAATTTGTAATTTTAATAGTTTTAGTGAATGACTACCATGGTACAGTAGTCTACATATCCAAAAATACACACACACTGGTATATGTGCCCAATAAACCATAGAATTTTTTGTGTTATGTGATCAAGCAAGTTCCCTTAACCCTCATATTGTCTTTGGGGACCCCATTTAAACTGGGTTTGATTCGGTTGTTCTGAAGAAATGTAAATAATAATAATAATAATAAGTCACACTTATTGTCTTCGTTGACAATTGCTGATATTGAAAATGAATGGGAAAGTTGAAAAAAGTAATAAAAAAAGTTACAAATTAATATTAAAATATTTATTTTGTAAAAAAAAAAATATTACACAGAAATGAAGGCCTGGTACTACACCACAAATGCAATGTGGAACAACACACACTTTTAGTGGCAACTTGTGTGGCATTTTTATATATATTTACATTATATATATATATATATATATATATATATATATATATATATATATATATATATATATATATATATATATATATATATATATATAATTGAGAAAAAGAAGATGGCTAGATTCTGTCCCTAACACCTAGATCAATATCCAGAAACAAATAACTTATATTTAGTTAAGATCATCACTGAAGTATTTATTTTTTCATAAAAATGTAATATTTCATATGCATGTATAGGTAATGGTGTAGTTGAGTAATTATGTGGTAAATATGTAAAAAAAAAAAAAAAAATTGAAAAAAAATTGTATTTAAAAAATGTATATTTTTTATACAGACAATGTACAGACCCCAAAGACAATGTAAACTGTAAATGAGGAGGTTAAGTCTTACTTCAGTTTTCAATCCAACCACATCATGAGTTTTATATATATGGAGACCTGACCCCGTGATTTGCACTACTGTCTCAGGTCAGCATCTGAGGAGCAAGCATTAATCCGTAAATGCAGATACATTCACTGGCTCAGAACATAATGGACTGTAATAATGAGATGAGTGAGTGTCAGAGGACACAGATAATCCCTGTTGCTGAGCCAGCTGGGACAACCCGCAGCAAAGGATCTACATTTGCACAATGATTTTTTTATTATTATTTTTTTTTTAAGAAAAAAAAGCCTATTGTTCAAATAATGTTAAACAATAATAATGCATTAATTATTGCATAATGCATTAACAGCATTTATTAACCTTTGTTAATGTTAGATAATTAAAATACTGTTGTTCTGAAGATTCTAGTTAAAGGCTAAACGTTTTTATGTGAACAACTTAATATATCACACTCTAAAATTAAAATGCATGTTTGGGTCAAATATGGACGTTTTTTCAACCCAATGGTTGGGTTTGTCCATATTTGACCCAAACATGGGTTGAAACAACCAAGTATTTTTAGAGTACCTATTACCCCTGTTGTATTTTGGTTGTTTTTGAGATATTAAATGACCCTTTAATTTGCACAATCACATAATGCAGAACTTTCCAGGACACTGACTTCTAACAGGGACGCACACACACACACACACACACACACACACACACACACACACACACACACACACACACACACACACACACACACACACACACACACACACACACAAATGTTCAAAGTCAAACCAGGTGCCAGATTTCATTTAAAAGCTCAAATGAAAATAGAAAACAGTGAGGGATACAGAAAAGAGAACAGGATGTCGTGAAAGCATGATGTCAATCTGTTTAGAGAGACAATATATCTGATATAAACCCATGTGCTGACACATTATTGCAGAAAGATCGTATTCGTCAGTGTTTTGCACTAAATATCATGACCGCTCAGATTATGTTCACAATTTCCCATACAGTTTGAGATCAGTTTTCATTTTATTTTATTTTTATCCAAAATACAGCAAATATTTTTACAATTTAAAATAACTGTTTTCTATTGTAATCTGTTGAAAATGTAATGTATTCCTGTGTATTTTCAGCATTCATCATTACCAGTCTTCAGTGTCACATGATCCTTCAGAAATCACTCTAATATGATGATCTGATGCTCAAGAAACATTTCTTCTTTTTTTCTCAGCATTTATCTGAAATAGAAAACCTTTGTAACATTATACACTACCGTTCAAAAGTTTTGGGGTTTTTTTATTTAAAGAAATTAAAGCAATTAATACTTTTATGCATTGAATTGATCAAAAGTGACAGTAAAACATTTATAATGTTACAAAAGCTTTCTGTGTCAGATAAATGCTGTTCTTTTTTAACTTTATATTCATCAAATTATCCTGAAAAACAATTGTACTGTCTTCATCACTGATATAATAAGAAATGTTTCTTGAAATCATCATATCAGAATGATTTCTGAAGGATCATGTGACACTGAAGACTGGAGTAAATGCTTTGATCACAGGAATAAATTACACTTTACAATATATTTCAACAGAAAACAGCTATTTTAAATTGTAATAATGTTTCACAATATTACTGTTTTTGCTGTATTTTTTTTTATCAAATATGTGCAGACTTGGTGAGCAGAAGAGACTTCTTTTAAAAACATTTAAACAAATCTTACAGATCTAAAGCTTTTGAACATAGTGTATATGGGAGCCTACAGGTGTGAATAAGCCTAAATTCAAAAATAACCTATAAACAGAATCAAATCTGTGATGACTAGCTCTGGTCTCAAGAAGAAGCACACACACATCAATAAGTCCAATGTATAGCAATAACATATTTTGTTGAGACGAGGGCTGCATCATATTATTAGCTCTGAGATTTTCTAAATAATTTCCTGATATCGCATTTGTTCCATGCAACATCGGACCCCTTCTTTACTGTTTAACTATTTGTGTATTTAAAGGCACACTGTGGAACTTTTCAACCTTTATAATATATTACCAAAACCCATTGAGATGGTACATCGACTTACAATAGGTTGAATGACACGTCTGCCGAAGCCTGAAGGTGTCTGTATCGCTTTTACCAGCACTATGTAACTTCGGGTTTCGGGTAGGAACCCGAGCACAAAAAGAACTACAAAATTCGACCGCTTTACGGCATACGTCACTTCCCCCACCACCCCAACTTCCTCAAATTCTAACGTGAGAGCTCAACTCGCCTTTGATTGCCGGCGTCTGTATGTTGTCGTCATGGCTAAATCAACAGCTACTCGGAAGAAAGCGAAGAAAGCAAAGATTTTGTCAGAGGAGACCAAAAAAAGAAAAAGGGAGAGTTTAAAATAAACATCGGCATAAAAGTGTATATACCGGTAATGTAATATTTACTGCGAATTCGTGTAACAAAACTGATATAAGTCACAACATACTGCCGTATACAAATGTAAATGTTTTTTTTTTCCTTTCAGCTCATATATGTTTGTATTTGTGTAAAAGGAAAAACAAACTGAAGACTACAAATAACGGAAATATGTAGTGAGTTATATCAGTTTTGTTACACGATTTCCCGACTACTCGATTTCATCTCCAACCCATTGCAAAGAGATCCTGAAGACGTTAATTGTTTGCTTCAGGTGTGTTTGATTAGGGTTGGAGATGAACTGTGCAGGACAGACGATCGGCAGGAGCAGGATTGGGCAACCCTTGTCAATGCGACTTACCTGATCAGACATTGTTTTCTGCGTATGCTACTTTTATTCAATTTGTTTTCTTTATAGGATTTATATTATTAATCTTATATTTATATTAATATTTTGGTCAGTAGTGAATCGATTAACTTTCTCCAACATACAAATCAAATGCCGTCTGCACACACATACAGACACGGGAGGTTGACCGGTTGACTGTTTGTTGACTTTTGCGACAATGCTGCGGCGCTTGTGGCCTCTAGGGGCACTAGACGTGAAAATTACAGGTCGAGCGCACCCTAGTGGCCAAAAGTTCCACAGTGTGCCTTTAACAGAATGATTTTTTTTAAATGGCCTACACTGAGCAGACTAAGGCAACAGAACAACTAACACTCATATAGTCCTGTCAAGCCATGCTGATTTTGAAGAGGAACATTATGAAATCAACAAATCCTGCTCAAGCTCAAATGGTTATGTAAGAGGAATTCTGCTTAGCTGTAGCTTAAAATTAATTTGACAATATATATATCCTGACAAAACTTCCAACATACTTTCTTTTTTATTAGTCACGCTTAATTAAGAGCCTTTAAAGTGCTGCTTTAATGTTGGAAAATCAAGGGAAATCTTCAGTTACATGAAGCCCTCTGATAGATGAGGTAATAAAAAAACAGATTTTAGGAGGATTTGTAAAAATAATGATGACTTTAAAAATAAATTTTCCATGTCCAGCTGTCTGCTGTTTTTTGGGGGGTTTTTTTACAAGCAAAGCGTAATTCTGGATTTCTTTCTTCTGTTGATTGAACACAAAAGAAGATATTATGAAGATTGTCGGTTACCAAACAGTTGATGGACCCCATAGACTTCCATAGTATGGGAGGGGGGTGACAAATGGGGGGTGGGGGTTGGTATTACTATGGGATCCATCAACTCTTTGGTTACCGACAATCTTCATAATATCTTCTTTTGTGTTCAACAAAAGAAAGAAACTCATACAGGTTTGGAACAACAAGGGTGAGTAAATGATAACCGAATTTTCATTTTTGGGGGTGAACTATCCCAATGAAAAAACGTAAACATGCAAGTTTTCAGCTTAAAGAAAATGTATGTCTTTTTGCAATTTTCTTTGATCCACACAAGAGCAAGTATAGGCTACCAAGTGGTGTCTATATGCAGTTCATATTGATATAACATAATATTATTGTTGCTAGGGTGTTTAATCTTTCAATGTAAGTCTATGGGATTTATTTATTTTTCCCCGTTTATTATCTGGCCATGTTGAATCACTTACAAAGTAGCCTAACATCATGTGCAAAGGACAAAATGGAGGTCAATAAATAATAATAATAATAATAATAATAATAAGTTTGTATTGATCCTATGCATAAATAATGGTTTACTGTATATCGAATAGGTACAATTCAGTGACATACAGGGTGCGATCTTTCCATTTTTTAATTCCAGTTTATGTTTATAAAAAGTTGTCTGTGTCTTACGGTACTCTGCTCTGTCTTTTCTACCAGTAACGATGAGAATGTTCTCCATAAACAAAACTTTAGTAAGTCAGACAGAGTGCGTATATTAACACTGCGCCAAACGCTCGTGAACTAAACTCGCGTGAAGTGGTAACCGTAGCAACAGAGACCTTGCCGTTGGGATCAGTATCTGACGAATAATAAACAAAGCAACGTACAACCACTATTTATCACTTTTTTAATGTATATTTTCCTACCCAAAAATAACAATTAAAAACCGTTTTGCTTTTAAAATGTCACCGAAAAACTATTTGGATTGTTTAGATTTTTTTTTTTGGTTGCTGTTTTGGAACAATAAGTTATGCTTTGTCAAAATCTTAGTCATTTTAAAACGAATTAAATGCCTCTCTGACTAACGTTATTAGCCTAATTACATGTTGGACTTGGCTATTGTCACGCACTATGATTTATTTTCGCCCAAATAAAGCCAAGATTAGTCTGATAAACTGGACTTAACGCGAGTAATTGGGGAAACAGGTCTTTTTCAGAGGGATCACCATGTTCGCGGAATCCCCAACTTAATTAAGCGAATTAAAGGACTTGGGACGTGAGCAGTGGCGGCATTATCAACCTCTTGGAGGCGGGATGAAAGAGTTTATCTACCTCTATCCAATGATCCAAAGCGGGTGAAAGTGGGCGGTCTTGGAAATGTTCTCCGGGATGATTGATAACGTTGGCGTCAACCGAGAGTCGCGCGCGGAGCCTTTAGCACCGCGGACAGCGCTCAGACGCGCATGCGCAGCACGCCTATCTGAATCTTAGGACTTGGGACTTGTCTATTTAGGCTGTGAAACCCTCAGAAACGAAGATGCAAACGCAATGAAGAATGAAGGAAACATCAAACTAAGTGAACCTTGAAATAAAAGAAATTCAACTTCAACAATGAAGGTGAGGACATTTAATAAGCTATTAAATTATTAAACTGTTTTGGATACTGAAGTTTAAATAAACAGATGAATTATAGCATGCATTCTCTTTCCAAAATCTTACCTCAAAATTATTTCACTTTTCCAGGTTATTGTAAAGCGAAAAGCTTTTTATCAGAAATCAAAGCACCATTCATTGGCGGCCAGTTCGTGAAAGAAACATCAAATAGGCTACATTATCTCTATTTTTGGAGGGATTATTTGTCGAAAGAAAGGCTGGTAATGAATTCTCTCAACGTGTCAAGTTTGAACGTAACGGATAAGACTGGGCATTTTTTTCAATACTCCTTTTCAAGCGAGGACCCGATGTTCAAAGACTACAAGCCAGTGCACCGGGACCTCATTCCCTTACCAAAGGGGGTTTTGTACCTGTTAATGGCCGCGCTGGTGATTGTTGCAGTCGCCTATGCCATAGTGGGACATCTAATCAAAGACCTCGCTAATGATATAGTAGGTAAGGTATGATTTATGACCTTGTGGTTTGACCTTAGCTGCTTAAACCTTAACCCTAAACCCTATGCTTAATGATTCAGGCTGTCAACACAACAGTAGCATTGCCATTGTGAAAGACTTAATCTCAAGTTACTCCAGCAACACTGTCTTTTCTGTATTATTCGCCTTAGAAGAAAAACCTCTGTAAAAAGGTAACAAAAAAGTACCATGGTATCATAGTTACGGGTGCATGTAATAATGTAGCCTATTTTGTACAATGGCAATGCTTTGGAATTCTTTGGAGTATTTTAAATGGTATCTATTAAAGTGTCATGGTATTACCCTCTATTACCATCCCTGTGCATGGTACAGGGATCAATACCGTGTTTTTGTAGCGAGGATTTTATGCCCTCACATAAATCCCAATGTTCTGGAACTAGAAACACATTTACGCAAATCACAACATTGTTTCATGTCACCTAAAACAATGACTATACCACGGTTCTGTCAAAGTTGTTCTTAAGGGTCCTTAAAGTGTAAAATGTAAAGAAGAAAAAATAACATTTTAACCTTAAAATGCAAGAACTGAATACAAACATGTTTGAGCCATGAGTGTGAAGTACTATAAATTATATTATATTATAAGATTGTCTTACTTTGATTGTCTTGAGTTATATAAAATCACCCATTAATTTAATGTAACTTCTATTTAAGCCAACTAAATTAATTCATTTAGGATATTGGTTTCCGTATCCTCTTGATCAGGACATAGAAAAGTATGAATAAATAGGTTGCTTTGTAGAATTTGTGCCTCTAAATTACTTACTAAGAAAATCTCTATTCCTCTTGACAGTTGTCTCTTGATTTTAATCTCTAAAGCACAGAAAACAACAACAACTTTACTGTTACTTTTTAATCAAAACTTTCACTCAAGTATGAATTTGGTGGGATATTTTTGCCTTTTAATAGAGTAAACGTTTGACACAATACTTCAACTAAAGTCAAATTAACCCTGCTGAAAGCTTTCTACCATAAAACAATTAGAAAGATTTACCAAATAATTGTTCTCGACACTTTGATTTCCTTGTCACCCATGTTAGACTGTGTGCTTGGCCCAAATGAAGATGATGCCGAAAAAGACGACATATCGAGTATCAGACCCACCCGCCTTCCCCAGGCTCTGTCTCTCTCACATGCCAACGCCTTCCATGTGTGGGACCAGGATGATGTGGTGATCCCCTTACCATCGGACGACAGTCCCCAGATGAGCCCTCTGCTGCTGTCCGCTATCCCCTACATCCCCTCGTTCTTCCCCACATCCAGCTCCAACAACAGCATGTCAATGCCCAACAGTCCTACTATCCCACGGGACGTCTGAGAAAGACGGAAGGTAAGAAGGTCAAACATGGCTGCTTCATATGATGAGCAAACAGAAAACAGAAACAGTGAAGGACAAGTGTTGTACACCAAAAAAGACTTTGTGCATTTTCTCTGGTTTAGGACTTTTCAAAACTGACGTGATATTATGAATCCGATAACATTTACAATCATGCATTTCGTCGACGCTTTTATCCAAAGCTACTTCCAGTGCATTCAAGCGACACGCTTTACCAGTCTGTGCTTTCCCTGGGAATCAAACCCATAACCTTGGCATCGCTAGAAACAGGCTTGAGCTTCAGGATCAACTTCATTGGAAGCCTCGCTCATTTTATTTGCCAGAGTTTTTGGACTCCGAAAAGTCATTTGGAAATACAAAGGGGATGGATTGCTTGAGTCATATGAATGTTTCCTGTTGTGTAAGACGATTTACGGAAGCTCTGTTATGAGCACTGTTGAACATCATTTCAACTCATCCCCAAAAGAAGGATTATTTAAACAAACAAGACAAAAAAGCACCAGGACATGAGCTCAGAATGACTCAGCATTATATTCTCAGTTGGTATTAATGACATAACGACTCAAGTCTAGACTTTTCATGCCAGCACAAATAAACCCAAAAATCCCCTTCAGTGTCGGATGGTCTCAAAGGAGCGTCTCTTTACGGGATACAGTCTCGTGGAAATCAGAGATGAGCGGTGCGAAGGATAAAAAGGGAACATTATTTGGACAGAGGCCTAAAGCAACACCAAATGCCCTTGAGAGGGTCAAGAAGCTGATCGAGAATCTTTGATACATCTGAATGTGAACAGTGGATCTAGATGTCAAGCTGACATTGAATCATTGGATTCGTCATTTTAGAGATGCACTAGAATCTTTGTTTTTGCTAGTTTGCATTTTGAAGACCACATGGGGTTGTTCACACGGGACACATTCCTTTCACATTCATTGTTTCTCCGCTTTCTTAAATATTGGTCATATGTGTGGGTTTTTTTCAGTCTTTCTGTTTTTTCAGAATCTCAAGTCATGAACATCCTGTTTTTTAAACTGCACGGTCAAGTTAGTAGGAACTATGAAAAACTTTGACTATTTAATATGCTCCTCGTCTAATTGTGTCACTAATCAGGGCACGTTATTTCACAGCAAATAATAATGTTTGACTTTCATTCCCTGGAAATCAAACCCATGACCATGCTTTTGCTAGCACAATACTCCTACAGGACTCCATCACTAATGTGTAATATAGCCAGTTAGTTATGTATTAGCAAACTTGCATTATTGTACAGATATTCTCACCAAATATCCCATTTCACTTGCACACTGTGTCACATTACGAATGTAAAACGGGTTGCGAATGCCATCTTATGTTCAGTTCGGCCCATTCTGTAGCGATCCGACTAGTTTTTTCCAACATAAGTACGTGCTGTGTGAACACCACCATACTGTATGCTTAGCATTTTTGCTAAAGTGTATTGAATTTTAATTTTTGCAAGCCTTTTACAGTCAAGATTGGTTGGCAAGAAATGAACTAATACTGTTATGAACGGTTACAAATGCTGTAAATAAAGAACTGTGCTAACCCTTAAGGTGTTCTTGGAAAAAGTAATTTCCATAACAATGTATAAATATTTCATTGTATAGTGTCTACATAAATAATAGTGAGAAAACCAACACTACAAAAGTGAAAATACTAGTCTGATGTTGAAGCGATCCACACAGGTAGTAAATGGAGCAGCGGCTAACGTAGAGCTGTTCTCAGACAGGTTATTTCCAAACGATATGGGATTATCTTGACCCGGGCACTTAAGATGTTACAACATTTAAGCAAGTAAACAAGATGTAATCCTTCAGTGTCACAAAGGATTCCCTGAACCTCTCCTCCCCCAAAGGGCAATCGGCGGGCCAACAGATTTACCATACACTGCTGACTGCCCTCTCGAATCTGAACTGTGTTCAAATCATCTAAATAGTTTTTTCAGTGGTAAAAGAGTTCTGCACAAACTGGTGTCCTCTGAGATTCAAAGCTTCATCCCGTCTTAACAACCAACTCATCCTCAGCTAACATCCTCTCCACATGTGCTTTTACATAATATTATGTGTGCCAACTACAAGAGATGCTGGGAAATGAAGAGATTACGGAAGCCATGTTTCCATGGTGTAAGCGGTCTGTCGGACACTAATTCAAAGCCTGCAAATCAAATCTTAGAGTCCAGTTCATAAATAACATTTAAATACCATTCACAAGTTTGGTGTCGGTACGATTTTTTTTATTTGCAATAAGTTTAAACGTTAGAAAGGACGCATTAAACTGAGCAAAAGTGGCAGGGAAAAAATGTATAGCTTTACTTGTCTTAAATAAAACCTGAGCTTTTGAACAGTCGTGTGTGTTTATGTAATTTTAGTGTAGCACACAAGTGGTAGATGTAGAGAAATGAAAAGATTACGGAAGCAGCTTGAACTCATTTCCAACCATGAGTTTTGTTGAAATAAATGGAATTAGTGCTACTAATCTTATTTAGTTTGTTCATGGAACTTGACTACATGGTACAAGTGTACCCTAGAGATGAAAACGTACTGCTTAACGTTTACGTCATTTTCAACTAAAACCGAATCAATGCTGCCAGGAAATATCACTTAGAAAAGGCACAGAACATCACAAGAGAACAAGAGACGTTTAGCAGAAACATCAATTTAAATTTGACTCTAGTGGTTCTCAACCTGGGGTCCTCTGGAAACTTACAAAGTTATATATTTAAATGAGTGAAATTAAATTTAACTAATTAAAATAAATATATCTAAATAAAATATTTAAATTAATTATATAACACATAACAGTACGTACTGTTCTCGAAAGTTCTGGAATCACAAAATGTATAGTGGTAAATTAATTTAAAGTGCCACTATTATGTTTTTTTCAGATATAACAAAGTGTAACACATTTGCATAATGGTCTTCATTGGCTCCCCGT